AAAAAAAAAAAAAAAAAAAAAAAAAAAAAAAAAAAAAAAAAAAAAAAGCTAAGTTAAATCTGCAAGTAGAAAAAAATGTTAATTGATAATGACAAGTAAAAGAAAGTAAACACATACTAGTTTGCCTCTTTGACCCCACAGAACAGGAAATGAAAATATAAGTCTTCAAAATATCTTTTAATAAATTTGTCTGCATTTATGAATATGGTTTTATTTATTTCTGCTGATTGATAAGATAAATACTGAGGCCTTGGGCCTTCGGGGCTTGACAGTTCCCTGTCTAATTACACATTTGCAGTTTAAATCACGGGCCAAACGGTGAGTTTGTTATTTGACACCGCAAACGCTTTGGTTTCGTGACCATTACTGGCTCCCAGACCCTTCGCCCCTTACTCCAGTTATACCTGGCTCCTTGTCTTCCACACTTACACAAACGTGATTCGCCTAACACTTAACATTCCTCCCTTCCTTCCCGATCTTCTCTTCTCACCCAGTAAATTTCAGAAATGTTTCACACATCAACTAGAAATCAGGAGCCAAAACCAAAGTCGCTGTTTTATCGAGCTGGCTCCGCCCACTGACGGCTGGAGGAGACTTCCGGGTTCCGCCTCTTCTGCGGAACTTCCTCTGTCGTCACCGGTCAGAGGTGACGTTCAAGATGTCGGCCGGCGGCGGCGTTGAGCGGCTGTAGAGTGGCTCCTCTGTGTGACAGGGACCGGACTGAGGCCGCTCGGAGTGGTCGGGGAAGGGGCGCGAGGCCGAGGCCGGGTGGCCGGGCGCTCCGGGTCCACGGACCGCTACCGGGAATGCGCCGCAGCCCCGCGAGCAGCCGGGAAGGCGAGCCCCGTGCGTGTGCTTCATGCCGCCCACCGGCATAGAGTCCTCCAGGATGAACAAGAAGAAAGGAGATAAAGGCTTCGAAAGCCCACGGCCGTATAAATTATAAGTACCTTTAAAAGCCCCCCGTGTATCTCACTTCTCTTTGATTTTGTTTTCATTGATTGTGTGAGTGACTTGAGCCTGGGGGACTAGTGGGAAATTAAAGAGTCCAGTGGATATGATGTTTGTAGGGTGAAAACGTTTTGAATTGACAGACAGTACTCAGCAGATTTAACCCTCACACCCTCGCCACACACAAAATGCAAGCTTATAAACCTTTCTTAAAGTACCGCTATGTTTTTGTCAAGACAAACCTTTTCATGGTTGTTGCTAGATTTAAAATAAGCAGATTACTCATTTTGTAGGGTTTGGAAGATACAAACTTCTTGTATGATCTTTGAGCTGCTTAGACCATAATCTTTATTTGTACTCCGATAGAGTCATGCTTTCATTTAATAATAGTACTTTCCTTTCTTTTTTTTAATATACAACCCATCAGGTCGTCTGTATCAACAACATAAACTTCCAGAGAAAATCTGTTGTGGTAAGATCATTTCCAGTTGTCCTAACAGTTTAAGTCGGCCTTTCACAGTTCTTGGGATCTCTATAAACTTACAGATAATGGTGCCTCAAGAGTAAGAAATTAGAATTCAAGTCTGTTTGATCAGATTCTTTCACTATATGTGTTACCTCAGTTCTCCCAACCCCTCCCTTTCCTGATTAAAATGTTCATATGTTAAGTATGTTATGAAATAGGAAGCCCTTTCACATTGTGCATTAGACGCGAATAAGCCTGTAGTCATAGCAGTCTTAGGCATTAGTACATTGGTAAAGATCCTTAAAAAAGTCATTGGATCCAGCTACTCACTTACGGAATTTCTTTTGTAGAATTTGTCACAGATTGCTATTTATCTTGAGTTTTGGGGCTAGAACACGTTAGGTGGATTATGTAGGGAATGTGGAAGAATTAGGGAGTATACTTAAGGTTTTACATTAGCAGTGGAGGAGTGTCAGGAAGTAGCTCTCAGTGAAGCTTAGCCCCATGAAAGTTCAGTAGAGTCAGCATGCTTGATTGAATTATAGTGAATGTGAGTTGAAGCTTTCCTGTCTATAAGACATTCCTTAAAGTGTGTATATACTACCTAATAGACTCTTCACTGTAACCTCTTGACGTAGATAAGATTTCAGTCCCAACTCTATAAATGAGGGAGCTGAGAGGTTAAGGGGAAAGAAGGTAAATATGAAAGGTAAGAAGGAGAACAGCTGTTGTCTACATGTAGTCTAGCAGAAGAACCTCTGGTGGCGATTGCTCACATTTTTGTGTCACCACTTTTCTGTAATCCACAAGAAATATCCTGTTGCTTAGATTTAGGATATTGACATAGAGAAATGAGCAGTCCACCTCTTCCACCATAATAGCCCTTACTTCACTGTACAGAGACCTATTATTACAACATATATAATGTTCTAGGGTCAAACAAGTAAATATTGGTCCTAGTCTAATATTCTTGATCTATAGTACCATTTAATGACATGACCTCCAAGTACTTCCTGCCTGACTACTTCTGGACTCTGGTAATGTTGTGAGAGCTCAGATATTCTGTCACTTCCAAGAACCAAGCTCTGATAATGCCAACAAGGTTTAGGGCTTTTGTTTTTGTTTTCGGAACAGACAGTGACCTGGCATATGGTTGCAGATCCTTCCTTGCTAGTCTCAGAAGATAGATTCAAGAGGCTGTGAGGTAGAGACTGGCTTCACATTTACCCAGAAAGCTCTCTTCTAGGACTGTGAACTGGCTTAGATCTAGAAATAGATAATCTCTGCTATTGTAATTTGAGTCAATTATTTTCCCCAGTAGACAGAATTTTTTTCTGTTTATTGGACAACACCATCATTATATACCTATTTATATCTTTCTTCAACACCAGATAATCAGTTAGCTGTTATGTTTATTCTATGGATCAAAGTACTGTATTTAAGATGGGTATAGTGGTACCTGCCTATAATACTAGCACATAGGAGGTTGAGATGGGAAGATCAATTGAGCCTAGGAAATTTAGATCAGCTTGAGCAAAATGGAGAGACCTCCTCTTAGAAAAAAAACAAAAACCACCGTGGTGGTACACACCTCTAACCCCCATACTCTGGAGGCTGAGGCAGGGGGAATTGGCGGTTTAAGATGAGCCTGGACTATATAGGGGGATGCTGTTTCAAAAAATAAAAAAAATAAAAGGGATAAGAGATTGAGTGGTGGTCAAGATTTGGGATGAGCAGAGAAGAAAGACCCAAAATGTGCAGGATGGCTTTTGGGGGCAAAGGAGCAGTCTAGTTTTTGATTGACGAGAGGGGCTATATGAGAACAACTATAGACATTTCAATTCATGATGGCAATATCAGCAGTGTGGAGGGGTCTTTCAGATTTTGATTATTGTCCTGGAGTGGAGGAACTCTGGCAATTTAGGTCAAGGAACTTGAAGTCACTGTTCTCAGAAGGGCCTCTGGCCTCTGCCACCTATAGGCATGTGCTCCACGCCCAATAGGATCATACAGTTAGTAGGTGGTGGGTCTGGGACTCAAACATAAGGGGTTTATTGCCAGAAAAGTTGCATTTATGTATAGGTGTCCACTGCCCTGGCTTTTGTAGTATTTACTGCATTCAGTCTGATAAATGGCCAAGAAATCAAAGTGAGTGCCTATTTCCTTTATTTAGTTTATCATAAGTAGAGTAGGCAGCTTCTCTTGGGCATTCAGGAGATTTCATTTAAGTATGGTAAATAAAGAGTTTTCAAAAGGATTAGAAGACACGAGATAACTAGTTGTGAAATGCTGGGAAAAAAAACCTTAATAATGAAAGGAGCAATTTTGAAATGTTAGATGATCTGAGGATTTCAGTTACGTCAGTGGCTAAGGATGTTAGACTGACAGTTTGTGAAGTCAGTCCAACCCCCTGTGCCTGATGCCGAGATTAAAGGTGTGCACGCCCACTCCTAGCCTCAGATTCATTTGGTTCTACTTTCACTTACCCTAAGTTCATTTATATAGGGTGGTCATTGAGTGATTGACAGGGTAATTTAAGACAATTTGGCCAAGTCATGATGCCGTACAACTTGAATGCCAGCACTAGAGGCAGAGGCAGGCATCTGAATTTGAGGTCAACTGGATCTCCATAGAGAGTTTAGCCCAGCTAAGACTACATATAGGGAGGGAGAGTCTATAGGGCTTCCTGCTACATTGCCTTATGGTTTACACCTCTTCTTTTTTCAACACAGGATTTTGCTATGTAGGGTGGGCTGGCTTCGAACTTGTGGGCATCCTCCTGCCTTCACCTCTAGATGTTACAAGCATGTGTCACCATGATTTGTACTTTTAAATACAAAGCTTTTGTAAACAATATTTTGGTGTTTGCTTTCTACTCTTAAGTCATTGATTAATGTTGATCTTTTGATTTAAGAGTGTGTGCCTCTTATTAGGGAATTGGGAGCATAGTGGCTGTAAAATTGCATGTTTTTGAGGAGCTGGTCTAAAGGTTATACAGAAAATATTCATGAATTTTCTTTAAAGCCCTTGTGCCCAGAGGATTATAAACTAGTATAGAGAGATAGACCTAGATCTCGCTAGCATTTTCTTAGCTTCATTAATTTATGTATAAAAGTTAACACTTAAAATACTCTCCAGTGCTACATCTCTCTTAGGGCTTGTGCTTTTGTGCAGAATGTTTCAAGTAGCGCTTTTTTTTCTAAGAGTTGGTATTCTCAGAGTTGGGATTATAGAGTACCTAAAGAACGTAGTATGGTACCTGATGTGTAGCAAGTGCCATTATATCTAGTCCTCTATGCTGACTCATTGCTTGTATATACTCCTGTTGGAATCTCTAAAATCCTCATACTTGCTACGTAGCATCAGAAACATTTTCTGCCCCCCCCCCCCCATAGTTCATGTGTAAGCATAACAGTTTTCAATCAAGCATATGGAAATCACTGGACATGCATCCCATATTTCACCTGTCTTTTCCATTTGAGTCAATGTAGATTGTTGGTAAGAGTATTTGGCTGTCAGTTGTATAATAGTTTCTTTAAATGGACTGCACGCTCCTTCGGTAGCATGGTTGACGTGTTTATGACATGGCACTGCTTGGCAGGAAATCATTCAGCATTTGGAAGTACATACATTTCCTTGTTTATCTCCTGCGAGGAGCCTCATACTCGTTAGCTTTAGTAGTGTAGTTTTTTAATCCCAAGTTCTTCGTGCCATCAGAATCTTTTACATCAGTCTCCTGGTTTTGTCTCTATCCTTTACCATTTTTTGTTTCTCTAGCCCTTTTTCTTTTCTTTCCTTTTTTTTTTTTTTCAGTCTACTCTTGTATTTGAGACTACTAAAGGTTTTTACTTTTCTAGTCAACAATAGCTTACTTATCACAGGTAGCACAGGTGAAGGAAGGACCAGACTGGTAAAGACTAGATAAATCGTTCTCGTTCAGTTTAGTCACTGGCACAATTAATGTGTGAAATGAAGATTCTTGGAGAGCACTCACGTGTTTGTAGCTATTTAGAATTTTATCTTTGGAGGTAGCACATAGAAGTAGTAATTAAAAAATATATATATATATGTATGTATATATTCTAAAGCATTCCGGCATTTATTATAGCTCTTGTTTATTGTTACAGGGATTTGTGGAGCTCACTATATTTCCTACAGTTGCGAACTTGAATAGAATCAAGTTGAACAGTAAACAGTGTAGAATATACCGGGTCAGGATCAATGACTTGGAGGCTGCTTTTATTTATAATGATCCAACCTTAGAAGTCTGTCACAGTGAATCAAAACAGTAAGTTATATATGTTAAGAAGTTGATGTTTCTGAGTCATTCTGTCACTGTCACTGTTTTTAAAGATAGGGTTAGTGTTTTCTCCCCCCAAAAAAAAAAAAAAAAAAAAAAAAATATATATATATATATATATATATATATATATATATATATATATTATTATGTAGGCCTATATGTTGTATAATTTTTGTTGCTTTTACTGTTCTGCAAATTTTGCTCAAGATTTCCCCACCTTTGTCTAACAGTAAGTTATTTAATTTCTCTGCTTCATACTACGACTTTAAAGAAGTATTATCTGGGAATTTTCAGTACATTTATTTTTGGTACATTATGTTAACTATGTTTCTGTTTTAATGTTTTTGTAAGTGTTCACTTTGTAAATACCAAGAAATTGTTTCAACGAATTGAATAGTCACCATCATCTTCAGACCAGATATACTTTAAATGTTTTCGCTATTTTATAGTCTGTTAACTTTAGTTCACTATTTGAAAGTATCTTATGAAATATTATATCCACTGTCAACTATTTGGGGGTATTTTTTAAAAGCTTTGATAGCACTAAGTTATATTATTTCCATGATTTTTGGTGTTTTGTAGTGGGATGCCAAGCTTATTTATAAACTTTTTAGTCAAGATGGTATCTTAACTAGCCTAGGATGTGTCATACTGCTTTAAAGCAGTCATTCTCAAAGTGTGTTCCCAGACAAGCAACATCAGTATCATGTAGGAACCTTCTCAGATTTGCAAATCTCAAGTATTAGCCCAAACCTACCTACTGAATCAGACAGGATAGTATTCCAGAAGTTGTGCTAGGCAAACCTAAGTGATTCTGGTATGGTCTAAAGCTTTACAGTGATATCAGAAAAATAGTGATTTTTGTCATCCAGAGTTAATGAAAGATGTTAACACAGTGATCTCTTTAATAGTTCATTGTAGCTCTTGGTTTTCTTCCTTCCTTCCTTCCCCCCTACTTTCCTTTTCTCCCTCCTTTTTTCCTTTCCTTTCCTTTTTTTCTTTCTCCTCCCCCCCCTTTTTTTCCTTTTTCCTTTCCTTCCTGTTTTGAGCCCAGGCTGCCCTTGAACTCACAGAGATGCTCCTGCCTCTGCCTCTACAGTGCTGGGTTCAAAGGTGTGCTCTACCATGTCCAGCCATGTTAATAGCTCTTAACATATTGAACAGCATAAGGAATAGTTAACTTGGCTAAAAAAAGTATTCTTACAGATTGTGTAAAAAGACATAAAACCTAGAAATAATTGATGCCCATTGATATTTAGAAAGATCTTGGTGAAGTGTGTGGCTTGTTTGTATTACTAATTGGCTTTTTATCTCCCTAGGAGGAATCTTAATTATTTTTCCAATGCGTATGCAGCTGCGGTTAGTGCAGTTGATCCTGATGCAGGGAATGGAGAACTCTGCATTAAGGTTCCCTCAGAGCTCTGGAAGCATGTTGATGGTAAAACACTGCTATTATATTAATAATACCTTGAAAAAAATCCTGTTAAATTTAGAAGCCAGAAAGTTAGCAATGCCTAAACTATAGACTAACCAGTGGAAATGTACAGAAGGAGTTGGAAAAGTCTTTACTCCTTTAGGGTCCTGGATTGATAGGAATATGTTGTCCATAGGCTATTAAAAAATTAACTGGTTTCACTGTTTCTGTAGTCCTGTGAAACTGCTTTATAGATGGTAGGCATGTTCTCTGATATTAGGCTGTGCCACCCGCTCCTTTCATTTGTTTTTTTTTTTGTTTGTACATGCCTCCCTGGAACTCATGCTGTAGACCAGGCTGGCTTCAAACTCAGATCTCTTTGCCTGTGCCTCCTGAGTGCTGGAACCAAAGGCAGGTACCACAACACCCAGCTCTGTGTTGCTCTTTTGCTGAAAGGTGTTTTAAAGATCACGTGGCTAGAGTATGCGCCATGCGGTGTCAGCTCCACTTAGAACAGTAGCATGTCAGCAGCATCAGCGGTCCTAGTCCCCCTTTTTTTAGAAGAGCTCTCTTAAATTCCACAAGGTTGTTCACTCAGCCAGTTTGGGATAGATCAGAAGCTAGAATGCGGGCTCTGCCCACATGCTCTGTAATACTCAGAGTTTATCCTTTGTAGATCTTCACTATTCTTTCTCTAAAAATTTAGCCATTAAAATTATTGTTTGAAAACTTTTCCTACCTTAGTCTTATGAACGTCAAGGAAAAAAGAAAGAAAACACTTTGTTTTGGCTTTGTTTTCAGTGTGTTTAGGGGCAGGCAAGAAAATATTGGTATTCCTCAGTTTAGGGCACATGTAGAAGCTTATCTTTGTATGTGCATGCACTTGTAATATGAGGGGAAAATTAAAATAATTACTTTTAATCTAATGCTAGCGAGGCTTTTTTTGTTTGTTTTCTTTTGAGACAGGGCTTTTCTGTGTAACAGCTCTGGCTTTTCTGGAACCTGCTGGGTAGACCAGGCTGGCCTCCAACCCACAGAGGTCCTTCTGTGTCTGCCTCTCAAGTGCTAGAACCAAAAGCATGCGCCACCATGCTCTGCGAGGCTGTTTCACTATATGGAAACAAAACATATTTTAAAAACATAATGGATGGTGCAATTTCATCAGTAATCCTCCCCACCCTACTTCCCTTCTTTTAGTCTCCAAAGTCAAATAGAGTTGACAATTTGGGAAAAAAATAACAAAAGGAGAAAAACTTGAAAAATAGAATTGCAATTGGCTTCGACAGGCTTTAAAGCAGCCATATTAGGGGTTTTGAATTTTTTTCTGGAAACATTACATGTCAGAAATGTTGAGAAGAGAATATCCTGTGAGTGGTGCTGTGCTCTGTGAGAGACTGCAAGCAGCAGCTTATAGATGGGAGGCAAGCTCTCAACCAGTGTAATTGGAAACATGCAAAAGCCTATGCTGTGCCAAGTAGCACAGTGTCTTTGTTTCTATATGGTGGAATTTGATCCTAGACCTGTAACATCTTGGCAAGTGCCCTGCCACTGGAGCTGCATCCAGAGCAGCTCTGTGGTTTCTTAATACAGTGCTCAGGCTGTGGTTCTCCTTGTAGCATCTTTATTATGTAGGTTACTGTTGCTTATTTACATGTCAGTAAATGTATATACTTATTTATTGCAGAGTTGAAGGTCCTGAAGATACATATTAATTTTTCTTTGGATCAGCCAAAAGGAGGTCTTCATTTTGTGGTACCCAGTGTAGAGGGAAGTATGGCAGAGAGAGGTGCTCATGTCTTCTCTTGTGGGTATCAGAATTCTACAAGGTAGATTATAAATTCATATATTTCAATTAACTTAATTTTTAAAGTTACATTTGTATGTTTTGAATATGCAGTGTATTTATTTAGAATGGCAGGTATAAGCTTGATTCTCCCTATTCCCTACAAAGCTGCTTCTGAGTCATGCTGTGTTGGTTATTCCTTTTCAGTCTTGTCATTTTTTTTCATCTTTCCCTTTAAGGAATGGTTTTGAAATAATCTTCTAAGCTCTATTCTTTAACTTTATAGTGAAGTTTAGAAAACTACAACATTTAAATACAAAAAGATAGTAACTTTTCACAAGTGAATAAACTATTGAGCTCACACTCAGATCAACACAAAAAACATTAGCACTTGGCAGAGTCCCTTCTGCTTCCGGTCAGCTTGCCACCTGGCATTCTGTCTGGTTGCCCTGTTCTTAAAATACCATCGGTTGTGCTTGGTTTTGAACTTAAAATGGACTCATTTGTGGGTTGTGTTCTTTGTGCTAGCTTTTTGTTGTTATTTAACATCGGTAGGTTTACATAAAGACCTGTATCTTTATGTAAAATTGTAATCTAGTCAGTCTTATGTTCTGTAGTTCACTATGTTATTGAAATGTTTTATAATGTGAGTACTTTTCCTCAGATTATTAATTCTTCTAAGCCAAAGATTGTGTTTTAGAATTGTTTATATTTTGGTGCCATGTACTGATTCTATCATATCCTAAGAACTGACCAGAGATTTTAAATGTAAAGTATAATCTGTACTGTCAATCTGCTTGCAGATTTTGGTTCCCATGTGTTGATTCATACTCTGAGTTGTGTACCTGGAAGTTAGAATTTACAGTAGATGCTGCAATGGTAGCTGTGTCCAATGGAGATTTGTTAGAGACGGTGTATACTCATGATATGAGAAAGAAGACGTTCCATTATATGCTTACTATTCCTACTGCAGCGTCCAATATCTCCTTGGCCATTGGACCTTTTGAAATACTTGTAGATCCATATATGCATGAGGTAAGTCATTTTACTCGTTTATTCTCCTCTGTACTTTACTTAGGAAGACAAAGGCACAGATAAATAGTGCTGCCCTTAAATGTCAAGACTGTCAATAAAAAGAAAACGTTTCACATCACATTTATTTGAAAGGAAACATTTTGATAAGTTTGTTGGCTAGGATTCTAACCATACCTTAGTATGCTTAAGTGAGAATAAACCTTGCTATTTATTTCTTTTTTTTTCTTTAAAAATAAGGTCTCTCTGTGCAGTTTACACTGACCTTGAAGTCATGTGTTCCATTATACTGTGCCTGTGCTTTAATTTCAGAATTGCAGTTTTTCAACTTCTAGAGATGGGACATAGATGAAATTAGTGATAATGGTTAATTTTAGAAACCAGTTTACACTCTATTTAGGGTGTGCTTGGATTAGTTTTTTAATTTTTTTTTTTTTTTTTTTTTTTTTTCTGAGACAAGGTTTCTCTGTGTAGTCTTGGCTGTCTTGGACTTGCTCAATAGAACATACTGGCCTTGAACTCACAGTGATCTACCTGTTTCTGCTTCCCTGGGTGCTGGGATTAAATGTGTGTGCCACCACACCTGGCTGTGGTTTGTTGTTTTTTTTTTTAATGCTAAGTACTGTATTAGAAAAACATTCTAAGTTTTCGTATTTTTAAAATACTTTACTTACATTTACGTACATTTTTCTAATCAGAAAATATTTCCTGTTGGCCTTGACTCCATTTGTGGTTTCTACTTTTGAAATCCCGATCTTTCAAACTATTTTAGGGGCTGATGAATAAGGAGTTAAGTCTCGCGCCACGCCAACTTTATTCAGAGCGGCTTATACCTTGAGGGTTAAGAGGGGGACATGAGTAAAGTGTGCAATCATAGGGTCCGAGCACATGTGGGGGACAAGCTGTTTGTGGCTGCACGTGGTAAAAACTTGTTTTTCCATAGAGGCATATAAGCAATAGCCAGGTGTAATCAATACTCTGAAATAAACTCACGCCTATCTGCTACACCTGGGAGGGAAACAAAAGCATTTCCCAAGAATGATTCCATGTTTTTGAAGAAACTGGTCAGGGTACAAGACTCTTGTCTTGGTTTCTTGGGAGTTTTTCCATAAGCACTCAGAATTCTCATACAACTCCATTCTTGGAACATGGAGTGCTGGAATTACAGAAGTGTGCCACCACTCCTGGCTTCTTCATTCATTTGGAATAGAATCTTTTCATAAGACAGTCTGTGATACTTGTTTTGAATTTAGCTTACTGTGAAAATCATGACTCTTATTTCTGTTGAGTATTTTTTCCCTCCTTACTACAGTATGTTTCACCTGTGTTCAACTCACCAGCATTCAGTCTGCAGCTGAAACATAATAGGATGGCTGGAATTCTAGGTATACAGACAGCTCTGTCTGATTAGCCTTAGCTGGTTTATGCTGTCACTGTGTAGCTGAGGCTGACTTCAGCCTCTCAAGAACTAGAATTACTGTTATGAGCCGCCATGTTGGGCAGCATAAACTGTTAATTTCTAGATTTAGTTTAGTGCTACTTGCCTAGCATGTGAAAGACTTTGGGATCAGTTTTCAACATTGTACACACACAAAAATTACTAAAATATTACTATAAACTATGCAGTAATCACTAGGTTTGGACACATAGGAGATTACTCTAAGCCTGAAAATTTAATACTTTCTCATTTATGCATAAGAGAAGAAAATTAATTTGGAACCACTTTGTTTTCATTGTGTGTAAGCTTTTGATATAATCCGTCTTAAATTTAATTTTTTAGTACAATGAACATTTTGTAAACCTGATCTGAAAAGCTCACGAATTTTACAACAGCTATTTTCAACATTATGCAATTTATTAAAAAGTGAATACCTTTTCTTTGAATTTTATCCTTTTATTTTCAGGTTACTCATTTTTGTTTGCCTCAACTTCTTCCGCTACTTAAACATACCACATCATACCTTCACGAAGTTTTTGAGTTTTATGAAGAAATTTTGACTTGTCGCTATCCATACTCCTGTTTTAAGACTGTCTTCATTGATGAGGCTTACGTTGAAGTGGCCGCTTACGCTTCTATGAGCATTTTTAGGTTAGTGTCTCTTCAAATGGGGAAAGCCTAAATTAGAATAACGATGAAGTGAAAAGCTGTTGACTGGGCAGATTTAAGACTGGTTTTGAACTTCAGGTATGATTGGTATGATTTGAGTTTATAGATAATCTGGTATTTAAAAAAATGTTACAGCTCAGCCTCCTATATAAGGAAGTAACACATCAATAGTACCTTCCTCCACAGTTAGCATTCACATTTCCGTTTCTGGTTTAGTTTTTAATGTTTATGAATGTGTAGTTTTCACATATGGGTAATTAGTATGTCTTTTTGGTAGCACTATAAAAATGTACTGGTGTCATCAATTTGTCAAAATACCGTTTTTTTCCCTTTGTTTCAGTCCTTCTTTTTTACCTTTTTTTCCCCCAGGGGAAAGTTCTAAATTTATAAGTTTTATATGTTAGGGCCATTGTTTTGTTTTTTTCCTGTCTCTTACAAGCTCTCATGTGTAATGCAGGACGCTAATACTGTGCATGCTCTAGGACAGACTTGGAAAAATCAAATGGAAGAATGCATTTAGAACAAGAGAGTGTCAGCATTTGCTAGTAGGAAAAGGCTTTTATTTTTGTTACTGGTTTCTGGTTTCTGGAGACAGTGTCTCCTCACTGTGTGTTTCAGGCTCCCTGTATTCCAGACTGAATGCTAGCTTAGGGAGTGTGCCTCTGCATCCAACTTGGGAAAAGGATTTTGAAATTAAGTAACCCCATTGTATTAGGATTCATTTCTGAGTAACACCGTTTCTTCCTCACTCTACAAAATAGTGACTTATATTTTTTATAAAAAATCAATGCAAGGGGCTGGAGAGATGGCTCTGTGGTTAAGAGCACTGTCTGTCCTTCCAAAGGACCTGGGTTCAAGTCCCAGCACCCACATGGCAGCTTACAACTGTCTGTAATGCCTATTCCAAGGGATCTGACACCTTCACACTCATGCACATAAAGTTAAAATCAAAATACTGTTCTTTGCTTTAGGCAGATTGTGAATTTCAGATAAATTTTGAAAATATTAAAATAATTTTGGGGAGAATATTCTTAAATTTTTCTTCTGCATTGAATTGAACCTAAAATTATATTGCTTTAGGAGTTCAGTTACTGTGTTTTGACTGTCTGGCTGTGCATCCCTTGGTTCTAAATTGCTTCCACGTCTTTGGTTTTCAGCACAAATCTTCTGCACAGTGCCATGATTATAGACGAGACGCCGCTGACCAGACGCTGCTTAGCACAGTCCTTAGCACAACAGTTCTTTGGTTGTTTCATATCCAGGATGTCTTGGTGAGTAATTTCAGCCAAAGGATCAAGAAAGCTGGCCTCCCCTCCCCTCTTGGTCTTTGACAGGGTTTCTTGTGGCTCATGCTGTCCTCAAGCTTAATATATATCTGAGTCTGCCCTTAAACTGATGCTGATGATCTTGCCTTCATTTCACATCCCCAGGGGATTACTGGTATATGCCACCATGCTTCACTCTTACCTTTACTTTTCTTGCATTGGAAGTTGACTATTGCCCATAATTTATAAATGTTTGGATTATTTTGAGAGACTGTCTGGAGAAAAAAGAAAACAGTAAAATTTTATCTTATTTATTTTTTAATGGCTTTGAAATCAGTATAATTAGCAGGGCATGCCTTTAACTTCAGCACTGAACAGGTAGATCTCTGTGAGTTAAGGCCATTCTGATCTATGTAGCAAGTTGAGATGAAGTCCCATTTACATGGGAGACCCTGTTTGAAAAAAACAAAACAGTAGAGTTACTTAAATAATTTACTAAAAAGATAAGAATTTTGAAAAATGTCTTAGCTGTATATAATACATATTTGGATATAGAGAAAACTAATTACAGTTCTAATGTGAGTGTTCAACTGTGGAAAAATTTTTGAGATGATTTTTTAAAGCAAAGTAATTGCCTTTAACAGTAATAGTAATGGTGTAGGAAGTTAGCCTTTTAGTTTAGATTTTTGCCAGTTCTGTGGAAAGCAGAGAAGGGGAAGCATACTTGGTGCTAGGCGCAGCTCAGGGGTACAGTGCTAGGCTCTCAGCTGGAGCCCCAACACTGGAAACAGAAAACCTTCATTTTCTTTAACTTGAGATGAATTTTGTATTGTCTGTTTTTTGAGAACTAATCTTATCTTACACTATTCTGCCTGGCTTAGAACTTACAATGTAGACCAGGTTAGCCTGCCATCTGCCTGTCTCTGAGTGCTAGAATTATAGATGGAAGTCACCATTCTTGGCTACTTGAGTTAATTTACAGCTCTGTACAAAACTCCCTTGAGATTGTAATTTTTTATATTAAAATTTTTTATATTTTAATAACGTAGGGCTCCACTTTTTTTTTTTTTAACGTTACTGTGTTTATATGGTAGATATATATCAGTGAATGAGTGGTTGCTGCCAGTTGCCTTTTTTTCTGGAAAAAGTACAAACATTAAGCAGTTCAGCTTAAGGACACTGTAAAGCCTGGGTTTTGAGAATTGTGCCTGGTTGTCACAATAAAGAAGGTGGGATTGGAGTTTCCAGTAACTCAGGGCCTTGCTCATGCTAGTAAGCACTGTATCACTTGATATATTCCCAGTCCAAGAGCGTGGATTTTGTTTTGATCTTTTGAGATAGAACATTACCTAGTCGACTGTGGAGCTAAGGGTAACCTGGAATTCTTGATTGTTCTGCCTCCAAGTGTGAAGAGTGCCAGCACACTAGTACATGTAAACTTTTGACTGTGGCTACGTACTTCTTTAGTGCAGACAGTCTGAACAGTGGCGTGCAGAGAAGGACCACTGCCGCCGTGAGTGCACTGCTCACTTCAACTTTAGAGGAGATGGTAAAGCAGTGTGGGCGCTTGATTTTCTTCTGCACTACAGAGCAGGCCCAGGAATGCAAGCATGCTGGGAAATCGCTGTCACTGAACTATACTGGGCAACTCAGCCTAAAGCATTTAAAGAACCTGATAATATGCTAATAGCCTGCATTTCCTATAAGACAACATGTGGCACATATCACACTGATTCCATTAGTTTCTTTGACCCTGCTTGGACAGTTGAACAGGCTTTTTTTCCCTTGTTTTCCGCGACAGGGTTTCTCTGTGTAGCCTTGGCTGTCCTGAACTTGCTTTGTAGACCAGGCTGGTTCCGAACTCACAGAGATCTACCTGCCCCTACTTAACTTGGACAGGCTGTAATGATTAAAAGTTTTATTGACTTTTCCTTAGGTCTGATGAATGGGTGCTGAAAGGGATCTCAGGTTATATTTATGGACTTTGGATGAAAAAAACCTTTGGTGTTAATGAATACCGCCATTGGATTAAAGAGGTAAACAAAAACTAGGTTTGTTCTCTACTTGTTAGTCAGTAATATATGCTAGTATCTTCCTGATTTCCAAGTCTTTTGTCCTTTATTTATTCTACTTATTTATGTGTGTGTGTGTGTGTGTGTGTGTGTGTGTGTGTGTGTGTGTGTGTGTGTGTGTGTGTGTGTTGGGGCCAGTGCACATGCCAGGGTGTGTATGCACTCAGAAGACAATTTACTGGACAATATATTTCTCCTTATACTGTGAGTCCTGGAAACCAAGTGCAGGTGCTTAGGCGCTTTGGCAAACTCTTTTACCCACTGAACCATCTTGCTAGCCCTCTTGTCCTCCATTTTACTAATTGTAAAGAACTAGCTAATTCTTTTTTAAAAAAAAATGAAAATTTTATCCTCAGGAAAAAAAATAAAACATTATAACTATTCTTCCTCTGTTTGTTTCCATATCTTTTAATGGGGTGATGATGGTGTGGTGGTAATGTCTACTCCCCTGGGGATAGTGGCACATCACTCATGTAGTGTGAACGGTGCTTCACATGTAGTAGTTAGTTATATGTCAGGTAGCCTTCAACAGCTACTTTATATTCTTTCATTGACACAGTATTTTCCTTTTATTTAAAGATGAAGGAAAAAAGTATTTCTATATCTATTTCTCATCGTGCACATAGATATTTTAATGGTATCATTGAATTAGATTAGATCTTTAAATTCATTATTTTCAGAAAGAAAAATCCCTACCCTAATATCATTATTAAATTAGCATTCTGTCCAGAGAGGTCATACATTCAGCACTGGTAGAGCCCATTCTTCATTTTAGAAGAGGGAAATAACTTACACTTGCAGTGTGTAATACACTACTACTGACTATCTTAATTCTTTTATTGTCCTCACTTTACATATGAAGAAACTAAGGCACATAGATGTTAAATTATTTAGTAAAGTACATGGCTAATCAACTGTATTGCTAGGATCCAATTAGCTTTTAGCCGTCTTATAATGCTATTTACTTTTCTTTTCTCTATATTATTTAAACTATTCATGAATGTCCAACATAGTTTTTTTTTTTTTTTAATTTAAACTATAATGGGTATTATATATTACAGAAGAACAGAAATAGGGTAATTTCAGGACAACCAAGGCTACACAGAGAAACCCTGACTCAACCTCCCCTCCCAACAAAACAAAAACAAAACAAAACAGAACAGAGGAACTTTAAATTGATAGATTATTAACATAGCTCAGACTTGCTTCTTTTTAATTGCCTTAGTCCTCAGATGCAAAATATTAATCAATTTAGAGGACAAGTTAGGCTGAGAAGAGACATAAGGAGAAGTTGATGTTCTGCTGGAGAGCCCTGAAGTCACAAAATAGAGATTTTTGAATCTTAACATTCAGCCAGCTGTGTATTTCGTTCTGTTTATAAAAACACTAATTATTCTGGAAAGATAGTTTACTCATCTTACATTTACATCTGATTCCAGGAAAGCAAATTTGTAGAATAATAATAAAGATTGTTGCATGAAGAAATTTTCAGTGACTCTTATTTTTGTATCTTTTTAGGAGCTAGATAAAATAGTGGCATATGAACTGAAAACTGGGGGAGTTTTACTGCATCCCATATTTGGTGGTGGAAAAGAAAAGGATAAGTATGTTACTGTTCTGAGGTGATATTATAAACCTCATTTTATGGGCTGCTACTTATAGGACCACGTGTTTCTTAAGGCTGTCTAAGGCCAGAACCATAATGATAGCATGACACTGTAGACTGGCAGTGTTGTTAGTGCCCCTCATTGCTTTTCGGTTGTGTCTCATAAGATGACCGTAAATGAATTTGAACTTAGAAATGTAAGGTTTTTCTGTTTGATATGCTAATATTTCTAATTCATCTTCATCATACTAGTCATGTTCAGACCTAACTCTATGGAAGTGGTTATTGTGCTTATTGTGATGGTTAGTCTCAGTTGTCAACCTGATTCAGTTGAGAAATGCTGAGGGGATTGGTAAAGAGCACTTCTAAGTCTGGGAAGATGATTCCAGGAGGACTGAGCAGACGAGAAGCTTTTTGAATGTGAGCCGCTATCCTGTAGCTATAGGAGGCACATGGCTAGAAAAATGAAAGCAGTAGAGGAGGAATCCTGCATGCATTTTCTTCTTCTTCCTGGCCTCCATGAGGCTGTAGCTGTGTTCTGCCATGTCCTTCTCACAAACGTTGGGTCAAACTGAGCCGCAGTAAATTCTTCCGCTTCTCAGTCATTTTGCTCAGGTTTTTGTTACAGACAAAAAGTTTAGCACAGAAAATTCCTGCCAGAGGTAGAGCTGTTACTGTCTCTAAACTAAACCATGATTCTTATGTTTTGAAATTGAGTTTTGAAAGGAATTTGGAATAGTTGGGAGTTTTGGGCTTCATTGTCTCTAGAATGCTGTAACTTTAGTGGACAATACTGTTGGGAGCTCAGAAGACCAAATGCCAAGATAAATATGGATTGTAAAGAGCAACTCAGGAAGTTTATGGTATGACTAAGAACTTTATCAGAAATTGGGCTAGAAATTGGGCATGTCAAATTATAGCAAAGAACAGGCTACATTTGTCTATCTTGAAATTTCATGGTAGCCCATTTTATAAGCTTTGGTATGGATTTTGCTGGCTGTTTTCAGACAGATGTACTGTGAAAATTGTGAGAAAGAAACTTAAGTTTGGCCAGAAAAGAAACATAAAGTCAGGGCCAATAAAGGTAGCAGCTGAAGAGATTAAGACTGTTAAAGAAGCAAAGTATTTTAATCTGGGACTATAGAAAAAAACCCTGAGGCCTTCTCAGGAAGTGCTTGTATCCTCACCTGTCATGTGTCTAAGGAAAAAGATTATAAGTTCACTAGAAAGAGTTCGATTTGAGAAGCAAGCTCTAGAGCTCTCTGAGAGAGCCTGGCTCCCCAGGAACATGCTTTCCTGAGTTCAGCCATATGGGTACCCACAGGCAATACAGCTGAATCCTGCTGCCTGATTGAGGTCATTGAGACCTGAACCCAGATTGCAGTGGAAGACCTGGGAGGCTAAGCAGTGTGTGGCAAGGTCAGGCTCCCTTAGCTAGCCTCTGAGATTGCAGTGCATAAGGGCACAGGAATGAAGCCACAGATGTAGTCAAGACTGCAGGAGGCTAGAGATGTGAGAAACCTACAAGGGAAAGCTGCAAGGAGCCGAACCAGCCCAAGACAGAAACCACATGTGTTATCAAGGCGAGACAGCAAGTGCCAGGCTGCACAAGAAGTTTGGGACACATACCTGACTTGTACAATAAGGCCTAGATGCTAGACATGGAATGATAGTATATAATTGTTACTCTGCTGTGCTTTGGTTTGTTTTGGTCCTGTCCTTCTGCCATTCTGTATCTCTGTTTAGGAATAAGCAAGTTGGCACTTTGAGGGTGTTGGCACAAAACCACAACTCAACTCTAGCCTCAAAATGGAATATAAGAGCTAGTTTATCCCAGAGCCAGATAAGGGTGCTTGCTCCTGTCCCAGGAACACAGATGCAGGGTTCCCCAAATACTGTATTTCAGTGTAGCAACAGTTTTATGACTGCTTATGTTAACAGAACACAGAAAGCCATACACCAGCGTACCTTTCAAATATGTTGTTGGTACTCATATCACACCCGGGGATTCTCCCATTCATTGCCAACTGAGCTGCACCCCAGCCTTCTGCTTGGCTCCCTCCCTCCCTCCCTTCCTTCCTTTCGTTATTTTATGTGTATGGGTGAAACTGAATTTGGAGGGAACACCACACAAACATCAATTGTGAGAATATAATTTGGTATACTTTTAAGAGGTATTTAGAACTGATCAGTTTTAAAATGGGTTGTATTAAGATAGCAGCAGTTCTGCTCAATGTATAGGATCATAAAAAACACCTTTTAGGTATTTGTTGTATGAAAATATTTGTATAAAATTTACCATAATGTTTTAAAATAGTGGAAAATTATTGTCAGCTTAAGTTGCTTACATTAAATTTAAAGTCTGTCTTCTACTTTGTTCTTTAATAGTAAGATTTGTTATATTAAGTGAATCTACTTTTTTTCAGCCCCGCATCTCACCTCCACTTTTCAATAAAGCATCCACACACACTGTCCTGGGAATACTATACTATGTTTCAGTGTAAAGCTCACCTTGTGATGAGACTGATTGAGAACAGAATCAGCATGGAGTTTATGCTGCAAGTAAGTGGCTAGCATACAATTTACTGGGCAACAGTAAAGGGAATGGAGTCTTTTGAAACCTCAAAGCCTGTTTCTGGTGACACACCTCCTCCAATAAGGCCACACTTCCTAATCCTCAGACAGCTACCAACTAGCAACCAAGTGCTCAAATGCCTGAGACTCATGGAGGACATTGCAGTTAAATTATCACATTATCTTCCCTGTCTCCCAGAGGCTTGTGGCCATGTCATCACATAAAATATTCTAGTTCAACTTCAACAGTCCCAGCAGTCTGTCAGTCAAAATGCTGTTTCAAAATCCAAAATCTCTTCTGAGATGCAGACAGTCTCTTAATTATAACCCTCTGTAAAATCAGAAGCAAACTACGTACTTGACAATATGTTATTCCAAAAAGAGGAATAGAAGCAAGACCGAAGCAAGAGGCAAGACCGAAGTCTAGAAGGACAAACTCCAAATCCCTTAACTCTGTGTCCAGTGTTAAAGGCTTAGTTGACTTAGCCCTTCCAGCTTTGCTGCTTTTAACATACCTCTGTCTCTTCAGCTGCACTCTATGTGTGCAGCTCGTGTTAATGGATTTCCATGGCTCTGTCGCCTTTAGCATCTTGGAGTCTCCAGCATAACTCAGGCTTCATACTTGCAGTGTCAAAATGTTTTCTGAAGGCCTCAGTATAGGAACTCCTTTGCCGTCCACCGGGCCTCAGATGTTCTATTTAACACCAGAGGAAGACTGCACAACCCATTACTTCATTGCTCTTCTTAAGTTTTGCTATATTTTAAAGTAAGTTTTAGTATAAGTAGTTAAAATATAGATGATGAAGTAGCATCAAGATAGTTCGATTACTTGCATAAATACATAGTATGACTTTGTGTTTTGGCCTCTTTCTCCTGCCCCATTCCATTCCATTCTGTCTTTTCTTTAGTTTTCTTTTTGAGATGCTGAGGATGAAATATATGGTCTTGTAATTACTATGCAAATGCTATACCACTGAGGTACATTCCAAAACTAATAGATGCATTAAAAATATCAGCTTTCTTTACCCCCTCATTGATAACATTCTTAAAGACAGGCTTAAAACAAAAAATTTTTAAAAATTATTTATGCTGAGAAAGTAGTACATTGAGAGTTGTTGCTTAATGTAGGTGGGGTGTAATGTGATATGAGGTTTAATCCGTGATATGGTAAAAATGGAAATACAGCTTTTCTCTAAAGATTGAAGAACAGAAATATAAAATGAGAAAAGTTTGCCATGAAAGGACATTTGTACTTTCTAGAATGATAGAGATCTTTATTAATAGTCATTCATGAATTCACTTTTGTAATGCTAACTAGCTGTGATACTCTCACGTGTGCTAGGTAAATGTCATCCCACTAAGCCACAGCTCCTCTCCTCTTCCCTATTCCCCCTTTTAAAGTAGAAGAACACATGAGATTTATCACATATCTGAAATGACTAGGTTCCTAATGAGTATTCTTAGTTTTGAATACTATGTAAAATTTGGAAGAAATATTGTGCTTCTAATTCTTAATAAGCAATATTGTATCTAGCTCATTGTTAGTATTCAGTAAAGTTTCTCTTATATCCTGGTTAAATATTTCTGTGTTTCTCTTGCTTATAGTATTTAACCCAAAAATTGCAGTTGATATCTTTTGTATATGATCACATGATGCTCCAGTGCAGACTGGGTGCAGTGTACCATTGGAAACTGTTATACACGCTTCTGTCATTGTAGGTTTTCAATAAGCTGCTAAGTCTGGCCAGCACTGCTTCATCTCAGAAGTTCCAGTCACATATGTGGAGCCAGATGCTGGTTTCCACCTATGGGTTTTTGAAGTCCATTTCCAACGTCTCTGGCAAAGACATCCAGCCCTTAATAAAGCAGTGGGTGTATCCTTTTGAGTAGCAGCTCAGAAGCATTGAAGGGAATAGGCTAGGTGGGAGATTGGAAAGAGGGAGGGGATCCATTGATACTTAAGAAACGGAAATAACTGAGCTGTGACCTTATCTTCTAAAGTGCCTTCCAAAAATTGGGTTCTGTTTCGTGTATAAACATTGATGTTTCTATTTATGAAATTTGGCATATTTTGTACTTTTTAATATGAACAGGTTTCATGGTGGATAAGGTAAATACTCTAGCAGACAGGCTTATAGCATTACTTGTAAGATGAAATGGTCTGGTGATTTTGAAATGTGCTCGGGGCTTGGCACAACTTGACTGGTATCTTGGAACTTGGCAATTTTTGCATTTTTCACTTCAAGGTACTATTGAGTAATCCAGTACAGTGGCATTACTTTAAAACATAAGCTTTTCAACATTTTAGAAAAATTGCTCAATCTGGGAAACAGTTTTCAAAAGAATTTTGAATATTTTGCCACCTGGGATAGAATGTGTACTTTGAGACGTTGCTTTAGTGGGAATACATTTGAAACTTATTAATGTAATACTGTTTTGTTTTGTTGCACATTTTCATTTCAATGTATAAAATTTCCTTTACAATTCTTCAGAGACCAGAGTGGAGTGGTAAAGTTTTATGGAAGTTTTGCATTTAATAGAAAACGAAATGTTTTAGAACTAGAAATAAAACAAGATTATACATCTCCTGGAACTCAGAAGTATGTGGTAAGTGGTTTTCTAGCATAGCATTTTGCACTGTTGTCTCCAGTGCCAGCTGTAGAAAGTAAAAATGAGTGTGGGGCTATATATTGTTTTTTTTTTTTTTTTGTCCTATAATTATTGTGGCAGTATTATTTTTACCCGTTATCACAATCAAATAAGACACTGACATCTGTTAGATTTTATAATTGCCTGATTTACCTTGGGTCAGGTAGATATTTCTACCTACGCTATCTCAATAACCTCACCATCTATTTCCCAGCCTCCATCCAATGCTATCCATCTCAATCATCCTCATCTGGTCTACCTTCCATCCATACTCCCAATATACTTGTTTATATTTTTCATCTTGTTTTCTCCATCTACACCATCCTTGGGAGTCGTTCCAGCCCACGTGGTCCTTCCCCATGCTAAGCCAATGTGGAGTCTTCCTGCCTCCTCTCTTCCCATCTGTCTCCCTCCCCTGACTCTCCTGTCCTTCAAAGCCTAGGAAGCTTACCCATGCTTACCCTACACAGGTATAGGCCTTTATTTTTTTATTTTTTAAATTTATTAAAATTTATTTATTTTCTATCCTAGCTGTAGCCCTTTTCCAAATCCTGCCCTCCTTCTCTCTTCTCCTCCCATCCCCTTCCCCAGTCCACTGATGGGGGAGTCCTCCTCCCCTTCCATCTGACTCTAGCCTCATCTAGGTCTCATCAGGACTGACTGCATTGTCTTCCTCTGTGGCCTGGTAAGGCTGCTCCCCCACCAGGGGAAGGTGATCAAAGAGCCAGCCACTGATTTCATGTCAGAGACAGTCCCTTTTCCCCTTACTAGGTACCGACTTGGACACTGAGCTGCCATGGGCTACATCTGTACAGGGGTTCTAGATTATCTCCATGCCTGGTCCTGGGAGTATCAGCCCAGATTTTTTGGTTCTGTTGCTCTCCTTATGGAGCTCCTGTCGCCTCCAGGTCTTTCTTCTTTCATAAGATTCCCTGCACTCTGCCCAATGTTTGGCTATGAGTCTCAGCATCTCCTTTGATACACTGTTGGGTAGTCTTTCAGGGGCCCTCTGTGGTAGGCTCCTGTCTTGTTCCTTGTTTTCGCCTTCTTCTGATGTCTATCCCGTTGGCCTTTCTGAATGAAGATTGAGCATCTTACCCAGGGTCCTCCTTCCAGCTTAGCTTCTTTAGATGTACAGATTTTAGTGTGATTATCCTGTATTGTATGTCTTTACACTTATAAGTGAGTATATATCATGTATCTTTTTGCATCTGGGATACCTCACTCAGGGTGATCTTTTCTAGTTCTCATTATTTGCCTGCATATTTCTTTGTTTTTAATTGCTGAGTAGTATTCCATTGTGTACATGTACCACAATTTCTGTATCCATTCCTCAATTGAGGAGCACCGGGGTTGTTTCCAGATTCTGGCTATTATTAATAAAGCTGCTATGAACATGGCTAAGCAAATGTTATGTTTAAAGTCCTGGAGAAATCAGGGATACAAGGCACTTATCTAAACATAGTAAAGGCAATATACAGCAATTCTGTAGCCAACATCAAACTAACTGGAGAGAAACTTAAATGAATCCCACTGAAGTCAGGGACAAGGCAAGACTGCCCAGTCTCTCTATATCTCTTCAAAATAGTTTTTGAAGACCTTGCTAGAGCTATAAGACAATTAAAAGGATATCAAGGGGATTCAGTTTGGAAAGGAGGAAGCCAGAGTGTCATTATTTGCAGTATGATAATACACATGAATGACCCCTAGAATTCTACCAGGGAACTCCTACAGCTCATAAATTCCTTCAGCAAAGTGGCTAGATATGAAATTAACTCAAAAAAATCAGTAGCCTTCTGGTATAGGCCATTAACCAAACAATCAGATATAATGTCTTAGGCAGGTTTACAAAACAAGGATAGGTGTAACCACTGTTTGTATAATACGCTTGTGGAATGTACGCTTGTTCATTCAAATGCTGATTTCTCTACTCCACTATCTGGTTTCAATTTGGACATTACATTGTGATGCTTAGAAAGTTTGTGTAAACATGCCACCATTTGTTTTCTGTAATGTCAATAAAACAACCAGCCAGTGCTGTGCAATGGAGAAAATTGGGTGGGACATCCTGGTTCAGAGGGGAGGAAAAAGATTTGAGGAGTGGGAGGAGGAATAGGAGAGCAGAGGTCGGCAGGACAGGACTTCAAACCATGAGGGAGATTAACCAGATCTAAGATATGACTAAAAGCAAGTATAATGTGTTTAATCTGAGTGGTAGGAAACTGTGTGGGCTTGGAGGTTTAGGATGGAGTAGCTATTGCCCAGCGTTGTGCTCTAGGTTAATTAAATAGGTCCTCGTCTCTGTGTGGTGATTTGGTTTTACAGCTGGTTTAGGGAATAACTGCTGCTTTACTAAAAGATAAATCTATAGTAAATATTAATACCCACAACAAACCAGTATCTTGAAGGCCAGTATTAGCATAAAAATAAAGCATCAGAACAACCCCCAACATCCAGTAGACAGGGACCCCCTAGCTGGGGTGACTGATGAGTCTGCAGTGAGTAATTGAGATGAAGCTTCTACAGATTTCAGAGCAGGCAGCCTCCCACTTCGCCCATCCTTGACATCTGCCATTATACTTCTGTCAATGCATATTTTGTATAGTATATTTTTATATCCTTTTTGTTTGGTTTGTTGTTGAGACAGGGTTTCTCTATGTAACAGAGCGTTGGCTGTCCTGGACAGCTTTTTAGACCAGGCTGGCTTTGAACTTAGAGATATACCTACCTTTGCCTCAGTGCTAGGATTAAAGGCATGTGTTACAATGCCTGGCTAATTTATATCTTGATTTATCTGTCTTTAAATGTAAGGATATGTTGACCATTTTCTATCAGTCTTTAATGCTAAGTTGTTGTTGTTATTCTTGTTTTTTTAAAGGGACCACTTAAAGTAACAGTACAAGAATTAGATGGATCTTTCAACCATACTTTGCAAATTGAAGAAAACAGCCTTAAACATGATATACCGTGTCATTCTAAAAGTAGAAGGTAAGGCGTGAGTCATAAGTGCTGTAAACTAGAGCTGAAACTACAAATCCCGCATGAAAAAAACGCCTAAGTCAAACTCCAGTTGAATTCCAGGAAAATGTTCAAAGGAAGAACACCGTGCCTGCTAGCTTTTTCTTGTATGGTACTTCAAGGTAGCGTTACCACACATGCTTTGTTTGAAGTCTGATTCGTTGTTCTTGAGACAGGATCTCATGTAGCCCTGTTGGCCTTGATCTTCTTACTCCACCTCCCAAAAATTAGAATCGCAGGCATGCACCCTTACGCACACAAAACCTTTGTCTTTGGAATTAAGTTTTTTTATATTTATTTAAGTTACTTTTAGAATAGAGTCTCACTCTGTAGTCCAGGCTGTCCTAGACCTCTGCATACTGTGCTGAGGCAATTCTTGTGCTTCTGGCTCCCAGGTACTGGGATTATAGGCTGTGCTACTATGTCTAGCTGTAAATAATAATTTTTTTTTCTTTTGAGAAGAGAGTCTTATATATCCCAGGCTGATTTGCTTTCCATTAACTTTTAATAAGAAAAATCAGCATCCATATTCTGTAGCTTCAAGGTCAATTTTGTTGTTTCTAAACTCTGTTTCATTGTTTACTCCTTTTTGGTATATCTTTTAGTGTTTTGCGAAATCCTTTATTTGAACTGTGCCTGTTTGATAGTTCCATTCTGATTTGGGAAATCCCACAGTTTTCAAATTTACTTTTCTTTAAATATAGGAATAAGAAGAAAAAAATCCCACTGATGAATGGGGAAGAAGTTGACATGGATCTTTCTGCAATGGAGTAAGTTACTTAAAAGTATGTAATTGTCTTTGAAATGTGTGCTTTTAAAACCATTTGAAGTCAAGAGAAACTGTTAGAAAAATGTTTAAATAAAATCATAACTCATTAGTGATATAAAATTATGTATAGACTGGTTGAGTTATTAAAAGGAAGTGCAATAAGTATTGGTGTGGGCTCTGTCTGAGCTTCACAGCCTTCTTGCTGTCTCTTGGTGGCTCCTGAGTAGTGATTCTCAAACTTACATGTGGGAAAATGGCTTTTCAAGATAGGATTTCTCTGTGTAGCCTTGGCTGTCCTAGACTTGCTTTGTAGACCAGGCTGTCATCAAACTCAAAGCCATCTGTCTCTGCCTCCCAAAAACTGGAATTACAAGCATGTGCCACCACACCCAGCTGAGGGATATTTCTTAAGCTTTAACTATTTTTACACCAAGTACATCATGAGCACACAGTATTGAATCAATTAATATTGCAAAATGATATTATTTTGATTAAAATATTGACAGACTTGATTTTCTCTTTGCATGTTACTTGAGAAATACATGAGAAAAAACACAGTAGGCCTTCAATTATGAATTCAGAGCTTTCTTGAGAAAAAAGTCGTGAGTCTAACAGTTAAATGTCAACTAAAATTAGTTCAGTAAAATAAATGCTTTCTTTTTGAATTTCTAAAAAGGGATGACTTCTATACTCTAGTTATTCATTAGGTTATAGAACGTTGAACGAAGAAAGTTTGTATCATTTGTGTTTTGACATCTCATAATTGCAGGTAAAAACACCAGAGTAATATTTTTAGTGGAAAATTTGGAATTTGGTATCCTGTGTGACAGCTTCTCATATCTTTAAAGATTTTGTTAGTAAGAATGTGAGAAAGTTAGCATAACATAGTAAAAGGTTTGTTTGATATATGGTTATAATAAAACTCAACAGCATGAAAATACTGTATTTAGGGGAGAGTCTGAGTAGTGTCTGCCTTGTTTTTGTTTCCCAAAGGTAAGTTTTAAAAGCTAAAGTTTTAAAATTGTATCTTTCTCTTAGCGCTGATTCCCCATTGTTGTGGATAAGGATAGACCCAGATATGTCTGTCTTGCGGAAGGTGGAATTTGAGCAGGCTGATTTTATGTGGCAGTATGAGCTCCGCTATGAAAGAGATGTTGTTGCTCAGCAGGAATCCATCTTGGCCTTGGAGAAATTCCCCACCCCAGCATCGCGCCTTGCGCTCACTGATATTCTAGAGCAAGAGCAGTGTTTCTACCGAGTGAGAATGTCTGCGTGCTTCTGTCTCGCCAAGGTGAGGTTACACAAGAGAAAGGAGTTGTGCCACAGACTATTGTGCACTTTATACAAGGCTCTGAGAATCAATTAAAACTCACCAGAGTCTTTAATGTCTTCTTGTTAACAGTTCCTGTGAAAGCTTGTACCAAATGCTTCTAACGGCACTGATTTGAAAGAAACGTGTTTGACATAAAAATAGATAATATTCAAAAATGTCATAAGTGTAAAACTGAAAACCATGGAGAATATTTCTATTTTTTAAATTGCCAACCATATTTTTAATGCTATGAAAGTTTGGCTATAAATTCTGTGATTGGGGGCTGGAGAGGTGGCTCAGCAGTTAAGAGGTCTACCCTTCCAGAGGTCCTGAATTCAGTTTCCAGCAATCACATGGTGTCTCATGGCCATTTATAAATGGGATCTGATGTCCTCTTCTGGCATGCAGGCATATATGCCAACAGAGTACTCATAAATAAATAAATCTTTAAATAATGAAAAGAAATTGTAGTTGCAGTGATTTATGTTTTTACATGAGATACAGAAAATTAACAAAGTTTAACTGTACCATTGTGATAGGTATTTTATTATGCTTTAAGAATTAAAATTAGTAATGACTAATCTACAGTGATTAGCTCTATAATTTCACATTACCAAAAAAAGTAGGCTGTAGGCTCAAATTTTTCAAACACTTTAATGTTCTACCACCCTTCCAACCCCATGCCCTTAGGCAGGAGATTAGTAAGGAAAAAGGGGCTGTAGACCTTTTAGTTACTTTCTGATGATTAGGGTTGTTGGGTCCAGAATCTCAGTGTGCTGCCATTTTGCAATTTCTTCAAGCCTTTGTGGATTTTTCTTATCTGGAACTACCTCTTTTTGGTGTTATTATAAATTACAGATTGGATTTCTCTGAAGGTTCTACATTTTGATTCAAAAATTCCTCCAACCTATGTTCTATGGCCTTTAATTTAGCATCTGTCTTTTCATTCTCTATTTTTTTTTTCTATAAATCTGGCTTATTTTGATCTCTCCCAAAGAGGATATACAAAATTGTAATTGTCATGGAAAAAATTATTTGTATGATAAGAGAAACAAACAAATGGAATCCAGAAGCCCCAGGTCATTATCTTCCTCCATTTTCAACACAGAAAATAATCTTTTCTTTAATCTCAAAATCTCTCCCTAAGGACTTTACTTTCTTAGACTTTCACTTTCCCTTCTAGACCTTACCATTTCAGATTGTTTGGGCCTTCTTAGTCTATCTCTGGCTCTTGCCTGCAGGGAGAGATTTTTTTGTTGTTTTTGTTTTCTGTTCCCTCAAGGGATCCTGACTCTCTGCCAGTCTGGGAAGTTATTGGGTCCATAATGTGGTTGTTCCTCTGACCTGCATGAGTCATGCCTGCAAGAGCCCCTTCTCAAAGGGATTAGCTTCTTGCCTTTGCTATGAAAGTCAGGCGTTGAGAAGCTTATATTAAAGAGACTTTCTTCTTCTTCTTCTTCTTCTTCTTCTTCTTCTTCTTCTTCTTCTT